TTCTTAAAAGGGAAAGGGTGCTAAAAATTGGGTTGATCCAACATCACCATGTGCTTATTAAATTGAACAAAAATCATATGCATATCCCTGCATTACATAAGAATTCCTGAGATAGCATCAGCTGGCAGAAGCTGGCACTGGGGGCTAGTTCTGTCAAGTCAAACCACAGAACTATCTGGAGAGAGCCCAATCCAGGAGTGGGAGAGGCCTGGGAGGGAATTAGTGGGCTCCTCCCTCTCAAGTTACCACTTCCATGAGAGGGCATAAACTTGGACAGGGGCTGCGGTGGAATGGGGTGTGGGACAGACTGGACTACTGCTACACATACTGGCAAACCAGGGTAGGGGGCCTGGTGGGGTTATTGCGGGTCACTCCAACTAGGCTGCAGCTCCCACTGGTTTATGCAAGGGCCGAGTATGTGCTGGGCAGAACCAGGCTGGACTGCAACACCCATTGGTTCCAGTGGAAGTCAGGACTCAAAGCAGAACCAACCCAGCAATTGCAACCACCAGCTGATTGGGGTGATGGACTGTACCAGGTCCTATGCTTGGAAGTACATGCAAGAATCTGGTTTGAGAACACCTCAGACAAAGTTTCTTTGGAGATTTCCCCAATCAAAATACTGGACTCAGAACCCTAAACAAGAGAGAAGACAGAACAGGTCAACCAACCATCTCAGCTATATGTTGGCAGCGAAATACTGGGCAAACAGAGACTCTATGATGGACTATGGCAATCAGTGGATTCTTCAAGGACCTCATAGTGCTTGGAGTGGCAAGACTGGCAGCGATTCATAACTGTTGAAATATCAAAACCACTTAAGCAAGAACCTCAGAGCATACCCTACATCTGGGACCTGGAAAGGGTGGGAAATTGGGTGGGCCTTTCTCCCTTAATACCCCCCTTTAAACATGAAGGAAACAATATGGAAAAAATACTAGTCTTACCCACTTTCCTGTAGCCCTTGAACCTTTTAACCCTAATTAACTATGTAAAGATTGTCAAAAGAAAAAAAAAGAAAAAAAAAGAATTCCTGAAATATAACTGAATGTTAGATTGATAGACCATGTGAGTACACAATAAATCACAACATAGTGTTTTCAACAGAGACCCAGAAAAAATATAGAACCATCTCCCTCACCGTGTTAGTGTGGGTCTTCACATGTTGTTGGGAAAATGTCATTTCCCTAGAGCTGCCAAGGCAGTCCTAAGCTCTAAGCTGCTCCACAGTCTTACATGCTGGTCTGTGTCCCCACACAACCCTGCTCTGTAAAACAGGAAAGGATTCAAAGTTTACTCTATTTCTATTGGCCTTTAGCAACTCTGAGCAAAGAAGATAAACACTGTCCCCAGCTGAGCTAAAAGAGCAAATAAAAGTATGCAAGCTTAGACACTTATAAAACACTGCCACATCTTAAATTTTTTTTAGCTTTCATTTATGAGTGCAATGAAAGACATACTCTTTATTGCTCCATAAGATATTTGAACATCTGTCCCAAGGTGACAAACATTTTTATGTTTTGAGATAATATAGTCAGAAATATAATAGGAAATGTAGTATGACAACTGATGGTTTTGCTCTGACCTGGGTCAGTTGGGCAGCACCCCTTCAGCTTCATCATGACCTGCTCCATATTACAAGAAGTATATAGTACAGAAATTATTTATAAAACTAGAGTGTTTCCAGAGTAAGGCAAGCAGGTGGTAGGGGAGAAAGAGGCAAAAAGTCAAACATGTGTTAACTCCAAATGTGTGTGATCCATGTTGAATTAGGGTTCTAACAGCTTGTATCATCCTTCCTGTTAAGCAAACTTATTTGCGCAAGCATTTTAAAAGCTGTAAAATATATAAATAGTTGCATTTTTCTATTTTAGAAAGAATTTGATAAGGCAGAAGAAGGAAGCTAAGGCAATTAACTAAAGCTTATTTCAGTTTGCAAAGCCAGAATGATAATCAGATGCTGCCTTACTTATTAAAGTAACAGTAAGACTGGACAGCTGGGGTTTAATTTTTTAGTTGAGGAAGGTGGTTGTGATTTGGTAAGTAGGTAGAGAAAAGAAAGGAGGAAAAGTGAATGATGATTCCATTGTTAACAGGAATCATACCAGTACGATGCTTGGGCACATGATAAGAGCAGGAAAGGTGATGGACAGTTCTCTTCTGGATTTGACAAGGTTTAGAGAGGACAGAGAAGTAGGTGAAGAACGTTGTGGTCCTGCAATCAGCAGGGGCGTGCAGAAGGACAGGAGGCGACAGGCTGTGGGTGCACAGTGGGAAGCCTGCAGACCCCACACGCTCAAGTCATCATACCTCTGGACAAACATCCACCTTGGGTGCTGGTTTTGCTTTAGTGATGAATTCTATTAGCTGTGGCCAGAATCATTCTGGTACATAGTATATCCAAATAAAATGCAACTGCAACATAGAGCAGTTCTGCTAAGACAGTTAGAATGACTGCAAATATTCCAAGTCAGTTCACAGTTCTTCACATTTGAGATCTTTACTGTTTAATATATTAGCATGGTCTACTTAAAATTTTACCTTCAAATAGTAAAAGCAAAATTGTTTGAGTAGCATTGAGCAAGAGAAAGAAATAGAAATAGTGCTGATATTTAATAAAAGTCAGATTTATAGATAGAAGCAAAAACAAACAAAAAAAATCTTCTGTCTACTGGCTCACTCCCCAATTGGCCACAATGGCCAGAGCTGAGCCAATCCAAAGCCAGGAGCCAGGAGCTTCTTCCAGCTCTCCCATGTGGAAGCAGAGTCCCAAGGCTTTGGACCATTCTCTTCTATTGCTTTCCCAGGCCACAAGTGGGGAGCTGGATGGGAAATGGAGCAGCCAAGACATAAACTGGCACCCATATGGAATCCCAGAGCAAGAGAAGAGAGAATTTAGCCAGTGAGCCACTGCACTGGCCCTAGCTGGTAATATAAACTCATTGATGATGCCTTTAAAAAGCAAAGTAGGACACACATATACAATGGAAAGATTTGGTTTAAAATCATTTAACCAAAAATTATACCATGATCTATTACAGTTTTAGATGTGAGTTGTTAGAAAAAATATTTTATTTTCAAAAGGATGTTACACTTTTATAAAGCCTAGTAAAATGATTTATATCTCAGTTCCTCTGTTCAACAAAGATTTATTTTTTAAGAGTTATTTAGGTAAAAGGGAGTGTGGGAGAGATGGAGCAGATATGGGAAAGCTAGAGGAGAACAATCTCTCACCCTCTGACTCATTCCCCAAATCATCAGAGCCAGTCCAGGCCAAAGTCAGAAGCAACTGAGATCAGTCCTCATCATCTTTATTAGACTCCTTAAAGTTTGTAAAAAAACACAATACGGAAAAGACAGTCTCTTCAAGAAATTATATGATGATGTGCATCTACATGAAAAACGATAAAGTTTAAGTATTTCATACAGAAAAACAAAAATCACTTAAAAGTATATTCAGGAGTTAAATGCCTTAAAATAACCCAGAACAAAACAGGGAGAAAGCTCTGTGGTGTTGCTCTTAGCCTTGATTTTCTTTTGCTGTGTTGCCAAAGTACAGCAAAAACAAAATTAATCGAATGCATCAAGCTTAAAGGTTTCTGGCCTGCAAAGGAAACAGTCAACGGAAACACTTTCAAATCTTAAAAACTGTAAGAAACTCATAACCTAAAAGAGCAAAAACCCAACTTAAAAATAGGCAAAGGATCCGAATAGACATTTTTTTTTATAGAAGACCTAGAAATGGTCAACAAGCAGATGAAAAGGTGCTCAGCATCACTATCGGAGAAGTGCAAGCAAACAGCACAAATTGTCCCACACCTGTTAGGATAAAGGATGTCTAACACTGGTGAGAGGTAAGGCTTGTGCAGCCATTATGAAAAAGAGATTGCCTTAAAAATTATAAATATAACCACCATAAGGACTGGTAACTGCACTCTTTGGCACATATGCAAAGGAGAGAAATCACTGCTGTAAAGAGATATCATATTCATTTGCAGCACTATTCTCAATTGCCAATATATGGGTGCCTAAAGTGTCCCTTCTTCCAATGGATAAGAAAATGTAGAAATAAAGAGATATAAACAAAATATAAGGAATGCATAAGGAAATAAAGGGAACATGTCTATTCTGTATTATATACTCTTAATATCCAAAGAAAATGAATGCATGTATCAGATATGTAGAAACATATTTGAACATATGTGTATGTATAGCAGATTGTATATGCAGGGATATACTTGAAAGTTTATTGCAAATATAAGTCTAAACATACAAGGGGAAAATAGAAATTTATTTTAAAAATAAAAGGTTTATTTTGCTGCAAAAGTTTTGAAATTTGGAAATTCCATCTGGTGCTTTTCTTTTTCCTTTTTTGTAAAATATATTTTTTCCATGAGCTTCTTGAAGACCCTGTAAAGTACAGATTTTTACAGCAAAATACACTTTGACTCTCATATTCCATGAAGCTCATGGAATACCTTATATATAATATCTGTTTCCTCCTGTGGTGCCATCATCGGTGGCAAATTTCTGTTCATTGTGCATTTCTCACCACCATGAGTCCTGGAACTCTACCTGGGTAAAAAGGACCAAGACCTTGATCCATTATCTGGTGCCTGGAGAGTTATTGCAGAGACTCAAACCAGGCTTCAGCTACGGAATGTGAGCGTCTGAGCAGCACCTGCACCTGCAGCACCGCCATGAACTAACAGCTCATTCAAGAACACTAATAACTACCCCAGCAGTACTCGGGTTTGCATTTGATCATTTTTCTTTCACAGGTCAATTATTTTCCACCCAGATTCTTTTTTGTTTGCCTATTCTGCTTAACTTTTCCTTGTAAATATTCTTATTTTTTCAGATCCATTATCAATTCATTTTGTTCTCTTTATATCACCCAAAAATCATGCCTCCTAAATACACAATGTACAACTCACAAGAAAATTTCCCCAAAGATTTTTATTTAACAGGAATTGTGACAATCATCTTCAAAGTAGAATCTAGGACACACATAGTTGCACCACTTCATTCATGAACATCATGATGACATTAAATATAAAACACGACAAATAAATAGCAATGTTTATTCAACAGTCATTTCCTGTAATGTCCCATCAAATACTATAATGTAATTTCATCCATTTTAGTGATCGTGTCTGTAAGGTTAAGAATAGACTGTGTAAGTAGTTGACTTGTAATTAAGAAAAAAGAGCATATGAAGTATCAAAATACTTGCTTGCTGTCTATGAAGCCCAAGTTCTCTGTCAGCACTGTTAGCAAGCTCGCTCAACCACGGTCCTTCCGGTCAACGCCATATTCTACAAGTATTATCCTTGCTGCCTAACAAAACAAATTTCAGAGAGTTAACTTTGCTTGCCTTTATCTTCCTGCAAGCTGAGATACTTTCTGAGTTACAGATGATCAGCACAGGGCTAGACGCTGCCAACCTTAGCACCTAAGTGCAAAGGTCCAGCCCTCCGGGCCATCTGTGAAACAGTGGTCATTTTTCTTTCACATCAGCCAGTTGTAAATGTTTTTTTTTTTTTAAATTGGAAACAGTCATTTATTTATCTATTAACTTATTTAACAAAAATATTCTGGACTCCTTTAGGCATCAGATAGCATATTTTCACCAAGTTTTAAATTAAAATATGTAAACAGGAAGAGATTATAAACATTCTTTGTGTGAGTATACACACATGCATGAATGTAATTACATTCATGTAAATGTTTTTAATTGTGAGAAATGTTGTAGCTGAGAGAAAGACAAATTATACTTTTTTTTAATGTGAAATTATACTGGCCACTTTTGTGTTTTGTCGGCTTGCAATTCTAAACCCAACATCACTCAACCCACTAAACATGGTGCACAGTTAAGTCTCAGTGGATTCTCCCCCAGTGAATAGGGCGAATAAATTCAACTACAGCGATTGCTCAGCTGATGCCAGGACAGAGGCGTCACCCCATTCTATTAAGCTCTGTCATCTGATTAGCCCTGTTTAACACATTGGCGCTTTCAGTTTATTCAATACAAATCAATGGCATCTTTTTAAAGATTTTTTTCAACTTTCATTTGAAAAGCAGAGTTACAAACAAACAAACAAAAAAGAAGGGAAAGACAGATCTTCCATCCACTGGTTCACTTTCCAAATGGTTACAATGGCTGAAGCTGAGCCAGTCTGAAGCCAGAAGCTTCAGTCAGATCTCCCACATGAAGGCAACGACCCCAGGACTTGGGCCATCCTCCGCTGCTCCCATGACCGGGAGCTGGATCATAAATGGAGTAACCAGGACTCAAACCGGTGCCCATAGGGATGCTAGCACAGCAGGAAACGGCTTAGCCTATTTTGTCACATTGCCAGCCTCAAATATCAACAATGTCTTAAAAGAGCTTAGGCACTGTAGTGCCAGCTCTACAACAAGGCACAGGCAACTTATATCCCTCCCCTAAGTCCTGCAGCCTCTTAAAAAGATTGGTTCAGGAAAGAGGCATTATTGTGCTAATGGGCCAACAATGAGATATCAAAAGTATTATCTTCTCTGGAGAAAATTTCATGAACTCAAAGTTCATGAACCCTCACTCAAGTGGCAATAGGGGGGTGATGGTCAACTCTTTTCAGTATTTCTATGGGAATTCTGACAGGTAATTTAACAGGAGAGTACCGTCTAAGGAGTTGATTTCTCCCATACCTGTGATAACAATGTTTCCTTGGTAATTGAAAGCACAGGAGAAGATCTCATCAGTATGGCCCTCAAGAACTTGCAGACACTGGCCAGTTTGAGCATCCCAGATTCTAGCTGTCTTGTCAGAGCTGCCAGTTAGAAGACGGTTTCCCTGTGGGTTGAAAGAAATCTGCAAAAGAAAGTAGAAAAATGACCTCAGGTTGATGCAATAAACATCAGCACATTTTCATCAGCCAATGTGCAGGTGTAATTAAGGACCTGTCGCCTCCCCAGCCTAGCATTTATTATTACATGGAACAGTTTGTTCAATACAAGGGAGATATGACAGGGACTAGTGCCCCAAAATTCAAATACAGATTGAAGAGTTTCCATCCCTAGTCTATGCAATTCCCAAGGATAGAAGACAGAAGCATCATTTGATTTCTTCCCCACTTAGCTCTTCCCCAAAGACTGTGTTGCCGTTCCCTGTGTAGATAGTAAGGGTTCTGATGTGATGGTCAGTGGTTATGTAACCGGATCCTGAGGAACATGGTCCAATGTCCTCCAGCCAGCTCTCCACATCCTATTTTGTCACCCCAGGGCATTGCTATGCCCCACAGCCTAGGACAAAGATGCGGGGTGCATTACTGCAGCTACTGACTGGCCATAGGGCAGCAACCAGCAGCAGGTGCTAAGGTTTAGACATCTGAAGTTATCAAAGTCACATTTTTCAGGAAAGGAGAAGATTTAATCCCAGCTATGAGCCTAAGGAACAGGGTTGAGCTGCAGGTGCAGAGTCAAGAGGTTCCAGCCTGCTCTGCAACTGTCTAAAGGCACTTCTAAAACCCTGCTCTGTGAATGAGCTTTCGGGCATAGCTTATGCATAATCCTAAGGCAGAGCTTTGTGGTTTCAAGAGTTAAATACTTCCAGGAAATACTCTGTCACTTGTATTTAGCTTACAGAACCCTTGATAATTGCCACACAAAATGTTTTGGATTATGTAAACCTGTGTGCTTATTAAACTCAAGAAAAAAACTTCATCAGCTCCCTAAGTCATTGGGTATGTGTTCCTAACTCAAGTCTAGCTACAGTTGACGAGAATACTATTTTGTACTCTCTAAAAGGTTTGAAATGATTTACTATGCTGAATTTGAAGATATTCTTAAAAAGTTTTTAGATGATTTATTTCTGAAAGACTAAGATAATTGAACAACTTGTGTGACCTCCGTTCCAACAGACATATTTACGTTAAGCATACTTTTTGGTTTTCTCTTTTTGAAGGTAAGCAAACTGCTGCAAATGAGAAAGCAACTCACCTTTGAAATTTCACCTTCGTGGCCTTCCAGTTTAGCAATGAACTTTCTTGTGGCTGTATTGTAAACTCTTGCTGTTCCTTTTTAAGAAAAATGAAAAATGAGAATTTGTATTCATTTATCTGAGATAATCTTGAATGATCTTAGTATCTGTATTCTGACACATAAGCTCTGTGATAAGTTTATCTTCTTTCCTGTAGCAATAGCCAACCCAGAAACTCCTCAAAAGGCAAGCAGGTCATACCACCAAAGAGCGTGTGTAAAACCTTCTGTGGCTCTGAGCTTATTAAAAGAGAAAATGGGTGAAAGCCAGCATTGTGGAATAGTGCATAAAGCTGCCGCCTGCAATGCTAGATTAAACAGGTGCACAAGCTCATGTCAGGGTTACTCCATTTTCAATTCAGCTCCTGGCTCATGGCCTGGAAAAAGCAGCAGAATGTGGCTTGAGTAGTTGGGTTTGTAATTTACATGCTGCAGACTAGAAGTAGCTCCTGGCTTCCAGCTTCCAACTGCTCCTTCGCTGACTGATGTAGCCATCTAGAAAACGAACCTATGAATGGAACATCTTCTTTCTCTCTCTCTCTCCTCCACAACTTTGACTTTAACATAAAATGATTACATCCTTTAAAAATGACAGTGTGTTCCAAAATAAGGGGAGATGAAACAATAATGTAGGGAAAAAAAAACTTTTGTAAGGAGAAACAATGGAACCATCAGTTTTATGAGGCAGGTAATCAAACAAGGACAAAAGAAAAAAAAACTGCCAGAAACAGCAACAATGCATAAAGGGTCTTCAGTGATGAGACACTAGAGTATCATTCATGTTCACTAGCAATAGAGCACACATACTGTAGAGAACCACATATATAACAGTCAAGAGCAGGATGCAGAATGAGTGCACACAGTCAGCAAGGTGATGACACAGACATTGTGCAGTCATGAACTGTCATCAAGCAGGTGATAAACACATGTTCTGATAAACGGTTGAGAAATGAAGTGGATATATTGCAGCATTTCATCTGAAATATCTAGAATGGTCACCAAAATGGCATTTTGCAAAGGGCATGAAGAAGACTTTGTGTAATACAACCAGTTTCAAAAAGATGAAGATGTAAAGTAATCTACAATCTTCAGACAAGAGGTGAAAACTGTTATCATATGTGCTACTGTGACTAAATCGTGTCCTTTCAAAATTTATAGATTCTAATTCTTATTCCTAGTACATAAGAGGCTGACTAAAAGAGATGCACAGTATAATATCATAAAAGGTTATCATGATGATGGTCCTTTATTTAACATCATAAAATGTTATCAAAGACTTGCACACATAGTAACAAATTAACACAAGTGTATATAAATGAGGTAAAACAGACACTGCATAATTTTACACATATCTTTCAGTGAAATGATACCGATACAGCAAGGCAAGTTTACTAGTGAGGTGATTCATAAATTGTGTGCAATATCTAGTTATCAAGAATATAATGCCAGCATGGTATACATCATATGTATGACAGTCAAGGTTACGATGCAGACAAGATGTAACATGCTACATGGTCTTTAAAAAGATGATGCAACTTTAGTGAATTACCGTGCATATAAGACAACCATATGTACTTTGTCATCAGAGAAATGAGGCATGTTAATATAGTATCTTATGATGTAGAGGTGATGTAGGCATTATACTTTGATATCTTGGTAAACAGATAACATAGACAGTGAACTGTCATATACACTCACCAAGGATATAATATAGATAAGCCCTAGTATCAAAAAATGGTTGAGAAGAAACAGAAACAGCTGTGGGGCTGACTCATGGGTCTCTCTAGTGGGTACCAGGATTCAAGATATGACATCCATGCTGAGAAGAAATTTGGGACACAGGGGATACAAAAGTGAGGTAAACTAATGTGCACATTACTAAATTTTTCTGGGGAAACTTACACCAATTTTTGCAAAATAAGCAGGCTGGTAAAAGTTACAAATTAACTAAACAATACCATACAAGCTGCTCCAACAATAGATCACAAGGGATTTGGAAAACAATCACCAGGTCTCAGGCAACAGGATAAGTAAACATGAGTTACAGGAACCAATACCAATGAACAAACAGATCTAACTAGAAAAGGAATCTAACAGAACTTTGTTTGTACTTAGGTATGTTCAGGCCAAGTTAGGAAGAGGAAGATGATCATGAAGATGCCTCACACCTCTCCAGGCACACTTTGTCAAGAAGGTGACACACAATCTCAGCAGGAAGCTTGCTTCCTGCAAAAGTCTCAGTCTTCCAAGAATGTCTGAGATTCAGGGTTCTCGACATTTGGTAGTCTGGCTTTTGGGGAGGGCAGTCTTTCAACAGGGCTGGAGGAGAACAGTGAACTATACATACACTAAGCTAGGAGCAAGTTCATTTCTGGCTCAATGCATTGCACTGCTCCCACAGACAGACAGTACTAACTTGGAATTCTACAGGTTCCACCAAAAATAGACCCAGGTGGCACCCAGACCTAACAGCCAGCAAGCCCAGAACCCTACCAGTGCCATATCAGGCACCATTTTGTGTAATGAGGGAAAAGCTGTAGGGTAGGGGAATAGTGCAAACTGTGCAGGTGCTGAGTCAGGAGAGAACTCATATCTGGCCCAATGCATTGCCCTGCTCTCTCAGGGAAAATACTACCAACTAGGAAAATACTATCAACTAGACATCCTGTGGGTTCCACCCAAAATAGGTGCAAATATCCCTCAGACCTAATGGTCAGCAAGACCAGCACCACTGACAATCTACAAGCTGTTTCTCTCTAATCTCAGACACAGCTCAAAATGGAGATGTGAGAAAGGTCTGTGTAGGCAATGGTACAGCCACAGCACAGAATCACAGGGAGTAGAGAGAGGTGAGCCAGGAATGGGTCCACGGAGACCCTGGTGGAAGCCTAGCGCAAGATCCCAACACAAACTCACTGAATGAAGTAACACAAGTGATTGCAAACAAAGAACTGGGTACCAAATGCACTCAGTAAAATCAACCTGTAGACCAGTGGGCAACGCAGCTTAGAAACCAGCCCTTAAAACAGGAATCCGCTAACCAGAAGTACAATGACCAAGAGCAAAAGAGACAGAGGCACAATGAATATCAATAATACCTCCCCTGCAAAGGAGCAAAAAGCCTTTGTCAACCTCGGAGTTAACTGAAGAATACATTGAGGTAAGGGGAATTTTAAAAACTTGTTATAAAGCTCGTTAACAAGAAGCACATAAAGGAGTTCAAGGAATTTAAGAAATTTGTCACACAGTAAATAGCAACAATGAGACAAAATCAAGCAGAATTGTTAGAAATGAAGGGCACAATGGGGCACATTAAAAATTCGATGGAAAACCTCAGTAATAGAATGATCAAGGCAGAAGAATCTCAGAATTGGATGACATTTCCTTCAACAATAGGGAAACAATCAGAAAGCTGCAAGTAGAATAAGTCAAGCTAATAAAAGCATTCAAGAATTAAGGGACACTATTAAAAGGCCAAACATATGAGTTATGGAAAGTTCAGAAGGCACTGAAAAAGAAGCTGGGTTTAAAGATGTATTCAATGAAATCAAAGGAAACTTTTCCTAATTTGGAGAAAGAACTGGGAAATACAGTACAAGAGGTTGCACAGAATTCCCCTTAGAGTTGATCAAAAGTGATCTTCACCCCAAAACATGATAATCAACTTCTCATCAGTTGAACACAGAGAAAATGTCCTTAAATATGCATGTGAAAAAATCGGTTCTAAAAGGAAAAAAACATCAGGCCAAATAACATACCAGCAAAGCTTTCTTTTGTCTTTGTAAAAGAAATTAAATTGTTCCACAGTAAAGCAGAGCTCAAAGAATCTCCTTTCCCAGACCTGTCCTATAAATGATACATTAAGATGTTCTATTGACAGAGAAAAGGAATGGCACATACCAAATCAAAGGCAAATGTGGAGAACATCCCAGTAAAATGACAGCAGAAGACTAAAACCACTGCTAAAACGACAGGACCAAATTACTACCCATCCATATTACCCACGAATATAAACGGTTTAAACTCGTCAATCAAATGTCACAAATTAGTGGACTGCATCAAAAAAGAAAAACCATTTGTCTGTTGCCTACGGGAGACACATCTTGCCAACAAAGATATGCAGAAACCGAAAGTAAAAGAAAGAAAAAGATATTCCACGCTATTGGAAGGGAAAATGCAAGCTGGCGTATCCATTCTTACATCTGATAATATACACTTTGACGTGAAAATATTAAGAGAGATGAAGGACACCACATAATGATCACACGAACGATTTACCAAGAGATCACTTCACTCGTTTCTTACGATGTTTTCCTTTTCATTTCTAATTTTGCTTATTTTTCTTTCTTTTCATGGCTAGCCTGGCTGAAAGTTTGCATCGCATCTTAAAAAAAAAATGGGTTTTTTAGTTTCAATTCCATTTATTTTTGCTGTGAATTTTATTTTTGCTTCCTATTCATTTTTAATAAGTTCTTGAGATGCATGATTAGGTCATTTATTTGAAATATTTCCATTTCTTAAGCACCTGATGTTGCAAATGTCCTTCTCAATACTGTTTTTGCTACATCTCATGGGTTTTGATATTTTCACTTTTATTTTCATTTCTTCAAAAAGTTATTATTTAATTAATTTCCTCAGTGACACATAGGCCACACAGTAGCATCATTTTCTTCAAGAAAGTTTTTGATTTTCTTTATTTCTTCAATAACACATTGGTCATTCAGTAGCATGTTATTTAACTTTGTGTTGTTGTAAATTTTCTATTTTTCTTCCTGTTATTTTGTGGCTTTTCATTGAAGAGGATGTACAGTAACTGTATAATGGAGGCTCTCATATCCAATGTGAGGATGCAATGTAGTTTCTATCTTGACTTCCAAATCAAAGATGGACTCCCAATGAAAACAGGAGGTTGGAGACTCTGCTATTGCCCATACCTACAATGTCAGAATGTTCTTAAACAACACAATGATGGACCTATGACTGTCTGTGAAGGATTATGCTATAATAATAATAAAGGAGAAGCCAATACTGGGTGGAGGGAATTGAAAAGGACAGAAAGGAAATCCCAGAGCCTATGAAAGAGCAACATAACATAATAATAAAGATATGCAAAAAGTTTCTTAAATCTTTTTTCCCAATGAAAAAAATAAATCTTAAACAAAATAAAAGTGGTTACCCAAACAGTGACTTAAGCATTGTGAAAAATTTCTTATGTGGTTATCAGAACATGATATAGGTGTACAACAGTGACATGTGTGGCCATCATGAAGAAGTGATGTATGCTGTTTCCATCATGTGGATAGCCATACATGTTCATCAAGCAAAGAGTAGGACTCCCCTGTGAACTAAATGCAGAAACAGGTTTCCTACCATCAGCTGAAGAAGTTGCAAAAAATTTTCCAGTATAATCAAAGCAGCTGTCCAATATTTCATCATCATGGCCTGTTATGGTTGCTACACACTTCCCGTTGGTAGCATCCCACAGCTGTAATTTAAAAAAAAAAAAACACACACGCATTAAAATAAAACATTATCTCCTATCTAAAATATGAGCATGGTCAGTCTTTCATGCCTTCCCTTGGCTGGTTAAATAACTACCTCAATGTCACGTACAGAAACTTTTATGTTAATTCACAGACTGACTGTTTCAGTCAGAAGATTAAAGACAGACATTTTCTAAAACATTAGGAAAAGAAAACTCTCCATGTATAAGTTTTCACTGATTGGAATCTAAGTGTATAATTTATAGGAAGGACATCAAATGATAAGGATCAAGTTCTAAAATGACAATGTCAGAAAACGAAAAGTATATAAGAGCAACGCTTTCAACATATGATAAAATTATAACTTAAGAGTATAAACTTAGTGACTATTTTTTTTCTTATTTTTAAAAGTATTTGTTAACAGGTAACACTTATATAGCTATATGAAACACAGTGCAATAGTTAAACACTTCATGGTGCATAATCAGGCATTCAGTATACAAACTTCTCCATCCTTTCTCCATGCCTGGACATTACCAGATCCTCCCTGCAATTCTTCATATACCACATAACACATGATTGTGATCTGTAGTCGCCCTACTCTACCATGGAACAGCAGAAGCCATTACTTTTACCTAATTCTATTATGGTGCCCACAACCCATTTTCTTTCCATTCCCTCTATCCCCACCATGTCCAACATTTAGGAATCACTTGTGTTTTTAATCATAGATATGTGTCATACCATGTTTTGAAGCACTATTCGCAACAGTCAAGAAACATAATCAACCTATACATCCATCAATGAATGAATGAAGAAAATGTGAAAATACACACATCAGACACACACACACACACACACACACACACACACACACACACACACGTAAATACATTGGAATATCATTTGGCCATGAAAAAGAATGAGGGGCTTGCATGTGTCACAGTGGATTAGACCACCATTTGCAAGACTGACATCCCATATCAGAGTAATGACTCAAATCCCACTTGTTATACTGTGAATCCAGCTCTCCGCTAACGTGTCTGGGAAAGCAGTAGAAGATGGCCCAAGTGCTTAGTTCCTTGCCACTCATGTGAAATAACCAGATGAAGTCCCTTGCTGCTAGTTGTTAGCTTTAGCTTGGCCCAGCTACAGCTATTGCAGCCACTTGGGAAGTAAGCTGGGAGAAAGACACATTCTCTCTCACCCCCCTTCTCTCTTCTCTCTGCCTTTCAAATAAACAATAAATCTTTCACAATGAAATCTTGCCAGTTAACAGAATGGATGCAACTTGAAACCACTACGTTAAATAAAATGAAGTTGGGTACCAAAAGACAAAAAGCTACATGCTCATTTTCATGTGTGGAAGCCAATTTAAAGTACAAAAGCTTTCAGTCAGGGAAACTCTGTGGCTGAGATAGATTTTGGGCCACTCCAGTAAAAGCCCACTAAATGAATCGCAGTGACACTGAACAAAAATAACGTGTATTTTTTAATGAAATATGTGTCACAACAGGAATTATCATATTACTTCATAATTCAGTCAAGGTTAAAAAAAAGTTTTAAAATTTAAAAGCATTAGAATTTATCACTCACAAAATGCTGTCTTAATTTACGGCTCCTTTGAAATAGGTTGATGTTACAGCAAGTATCAGCTTTAGCATAAAGTGCAAACGATACCGAGGTAAAGATACTCCTTGAACTCACCATGCAGGTTTTGTCCATTGAGCCAGTTAATATCAAAGAGCAATCCCAGTTGAACAAGGCACTGCTAATCTCGGCACAATGGCCAATTAAGGTATACACTTTCCTGCGAAAATGAAAACAAGTAAAAGTGGAAGACGTCCTTATTCTGCAATAAAGTCAATTCCATCTGTATGTGACAATCTAAACTTGCTTTTTATGAAATAATAGCTTTGTTGATTTAAAAATATATATATATATATGACTCCATGGTAGTCCAAAAGGAAGCTACTAACTTCATTTCAATATTAGGATATTTAACTTTTTAAACAATCGAATATAACCTTACCTAGACAATACCTCAAAAACAGACGGATAGCGAGCAAAAAGACTGTGAATTAATTTCCAGAAGTTCTCAACCCAGATGAACAGACCCTTTACTACTCAGGAATTACTCTTTAAAAAGCTAAAATCCCTTCTCTCTTTTTTTTCACTTATTGTCGCATATCTCCCAGTTGATATTGTTCATAAGTAGTCCTTGTATCAAAAGGTAGACAAATCCAGGGGTAGTTTTCCAACACAAATATTCTAATGTAGTTACCATCTTAGCAACTAGGACCAAAAATGTATTAGGAAGAAAATTTAATTTCTTGGGCTAAATTAAATTTGGTGAATTAACTAGGAGTTCTATTTACTCATGAAATGCATTGCCTGCCAAGATGACAAACCACTGAAATTTGATTATGTACTACAGGGAATCAATCACAACTACATGGCCAGACTAACGTCAACTTCTTCCTTTTTTTTTTTTTCTTTGTCCCTCATTATTTTCTCTTAATTATGAGAAAGCATGTGTTTTGTTAATCAAAAATACTATTAACATTGAATTAGGTTACTTTTCTCAATGTGTTCATTAGCTATGGAGTCCTACACAGTTAACAGATATTAAGATAAAACCAATCAAGGTCATAGTGCCTCCTTAACCCATGATTCAGGTTTTGAAATTTCTTAAGAAATGTGAATTACTTTCCAGTCTCAGCATCCCACACTGCCACGGTGTGATCAAAAGAGCCTGTGATGATTCTGTTTCCTGAAGTGTTAAAGGACAAGGAAATGATTTCAGCAGAATGTCCCTAGAAGGGGGAAAAAAGAGCGTGCATTGTCATATACACCTTTGAAGGGCACATCTCCTACGAGTTCACACTACCATAGCCTGAAAAAGGAATGACAGAGAAACAGTCTGTGGGGAGAAACAACGAACCAGCAGTTGGCTCAGGTAGGAGCAGAGAAGATGGCAACTGGCACAAAGCTAAAGGGCTTGCTTTATTGAAAGGCAGAGAGAGGAGGAAAGATAAAGAGAGAGGAAGGGAGAGAGAAGGAGAGAAAGAATTTTCCATCTGCTGGTTCATTCCCCAAATGGCCAAAAGGCCTGAGAATAAATCTACCCTAATCTCTCTTGTGGATGGCAAGAACCCGAGTACTTGGGTCAGCATCTACTACTTTCCCAGACATATTACCAGCGAGACGCATCATCAGCAAAGCATTCAGGACTCAAATTTGGAACCCCGATATTGGATTTAGATGTTGCCAGCAGCATCTTAACCTGTTATGCCACAATACCAGGTTCATAAGTTTTCTTTTGGGTAAAGAAAATGTTCTAGGGGACAGGGTTTGGCATAGTAGTCTGGACAGCTCAAAAAGCGCATGCTTGCTTCCCAAATCAGAGTGTCTGTATTTGAGTCCTGGCTCTTGATTCCAGGGTCCTTTTACTGCACACCCTGGGACACCGGAAGGAGATGGCTCACACAGTTGGGTTTCCACCACCCGTGTGGGAGAACAAACTGGAGTTCTTGAGCAGTTGCAGGCACACTTATTCTCTCTCCCTACCTACCTTTCAAATACGTTAAGCAAATGAAAGGAATTTTTTTAAAAGAAAAATGTTCTGGAACTAAATTCAGAGATGGTTACACCATTCTCTAAGTTTATCTAAGATTTTGGATTGGAGCCTACACAGCAGCACCAAGCCATTGCCTGAAGTGCCGGCATCCTATGTGAGTGCTGGCTCCAGCTGGTCCCCAGCTGCACCACATTCAATCCAGCTCCCTGCTAATGTAAACATCAGAAGATGGTCCAAATGCTTGGGCCTCTGCTCCCACATGGAAGACCCAGACGAAACGCTTCACTCTGCTCACTTTTAGTTTCATAAAACTCTTTTTAAAAGAAGGAAGATGATACAGATAAGAAAATAGATGGACTCTTCCACATTGTCTCAAAAGTGCTATTCTTACACTAACTGGCGATGGGCAATAAACATATACAAAATAAAGCTAGAAGCTTTGAAAAATGCAAATTCTGAAGGTAATTAGACATGACACCGGGAGTTCAGCCTGACCCACCATGGTCCGTTGCTGATGAGTCAAGCTGTGGGAGAGAATAGAATGCCCTTCTGGGTGATAAATCCTCTGACTCTGCTAAGAGGACTCTGCCTACGCAATCTCTCTGATTTTCCTAATTAGTTAGTAAATTCACACAATTGCATTTTAAAATAGAACAAAGATTTAGGAAAGTCCATGTATACGTGTTTGGTTACAGATGAAAAAATGTGGCCTGGGTCTGCACATCAGCATTCTGAACACACCAGACCAAGGTACCACGCAGCTGCAGACCAAGTCCAGAGTCAGGCTGCTGCACGCAGGGCTCTCAGCAGTCAGTGAGAGGAGTGGTTTTAGGTGAGAGTGTGAGCGCTAGTGGAGGCTTCTATCTCCACATTTGCCCAAGAGAATGCGGTAACTAGAAAAAGTGTCCCAGGAAACGCTGGGGACTGAGATGAGAAGCACTAAAATTCATAAAGCCAGATATACAGCTTTTAAAAAGAAATACCATAGTGATGCTTTTAAAGCTTTGGGGCTATCTAATCTCTTTTATTTAATTGGCTTTCTAGCTCAAGACTTTTGAAATAGCCAACCGCCTGCCTGGAACACTCTATAACTATAGCTTGAAAGACAGTTACTCAAAAAAAAAATCTATTTTATAGTTCATTAAAAATTGCACATAAAGGTGAACATACACAAAAGGCTTGTTAACCTACAGTTAGAGTGAACACTTCTTCTCCATTCTGGATGTTCCACAACTTGGCTGTTGTATCCATGCTTCCAGTAGCCACCAACGTGCTTTGCGGGTTAAATGACAAGCACACCTAAATTAAGTGGGATCAAAGAAAGCACAGGAAGATAGATCTTCAAGTTGTTGATTTTATATGGGCAAGATTAAAGATGCAATGATCTTAGCAGATTACGTTCAATTCTTTACACAAATACACAGCCAAATATCAAGCATGAAGAATTCCATTGTCCTCAGGGTGAATCCTGAAGCACTTGCTTGCCCCTGCTCTTCTGCATGACATAGCTCGGGGTGATCACCAGTTCTCGACTGCCCTCGCTCCGCCTCTCCTCCACACGCTTGCCAAGGGCTGCTCTCCCTGCCAATGTGGGAAGTCTCTGCTCAGCACCACCCCCGGCCAAGCAGATCTGCCCTCATAAACTCCCTCACGTCATTAAGATCAATGCAGCACGCCTTTGAAGGCACACATCGTTACTTCTACTGCATTCTTACTAAATCACGGGGTCCCTGGAGGACATGAACAGTGTCCAACTCTGGGCACCCAAGTTTGGAGCGAGTGTTTCTCTTGTGCTCAATAAATACTAAAGAATGTCCTAGGAGCTAAGTGTCAAGAAAAATCCTTTCAAAATCCCAAAGGATGCAGAAAGGTGACTGCTGGGTCCCTTTGAGCTTGGGAAAGCTGCTCTCCATGGCTCAATATCTTTAACTATACGACAAGGGAAAGTCAACCTTTAACCTTACTGTGAGGCACAACTGAGTTAGCACATGTGTAGGGCTTAGCACATTGCTTCTTGAGCCAGAAGGGCCTAAAGGCCATTTCTCATGGCATTTGCTGGGAGGATTAGCCTTCAATTTGAAAAATGAATATTTAAAAATTCATTCCAAAAACTAAACAGCTCATTTAAGAATTATGCCTTGTTCATCGGGGCAACAATCTTCGCACTAATTGTCTCAACACAGAATTCAAGGGTGAAGGTTTCCCAATAATGAAACCTATTTAGAGCATCAGTCTTTTCTTGGAGGGGTGGGGGGCAAATGTCAGTTCTCATCCAAAAATAACCAGCCTAAATATCTCACCTAATGGACTTCATTTTTAAAAAGCTATTTTAATATCCATAATCAGTGAATTAGTGCTTTAATGGAAAAATAATTTTAAATGTAATATGTATTTTAAATTTATCACCTGGATATTTCTTAAGTCAATGTATGGTATTTGAAAACTATTAAAAATTAGCTAGCTTTGGAATCCATCAACTGAAGCCAGTAAGATATACTCAGACGAAAAATACTAAAGCTGAATTTGAGCCTAATGGAAGACAGAATGCGTTCAAATTTTTTTCTTTAAAAATAAACAAAAAGCATACTCACAATTTCTGCTGTATGCCCGCGAAAAGTATGGTAACATTTTCCTGTCTCAACACTCCACAGTTTGCAAGTCTTATCAAAGGATCCAGTGGCAATTTTGTCACTATGATGTAAAAAATGTGGATTTTAAAAACATACTCAGCTATTTTATATGACACACTAAGATATTAAATAGGGATCTTTTAAAAATTGCTTCATTTTAGGGAGCTGGCACAATAGCTCAACTATCTAATCCTCTTGCTACAAGTGCCAATATCCCATATAGGCACATTCGTGTCCTGGCTGCTCCATTTCCAATCCAGCTCCCTGTTTCTGGTACGGGAAATCAGAGGAGGATGACCCACGTCCTTGGGACCATGAACCTGCCTAGGAAACCCAAAAGAGGCTCCTGACTCCTCATTTCAAATCATCTCAGCTCTGGTCATTGTCACCATTTGTGGAGTGAACTAGCAGGTGGAAAAATCTTTCTGTCTCTGCTTCTTTTTGCAGATGTGCCTTTTAAATAAAAACTAATAAGTATTTTTTTAAAACTGTCACGACTCTTTTAAAATCATAAAGAATTGTTCATTTGTTTTAAGGGATCACAAGAAAAAGTGCTGTTAGGCAAAATTACTGCCAACCTCCAAGGATTTAAAGATGAGTCTTTTTAGTATTCAGTCTTGGAATTAAAGTCATTTCTTTTATCCCAACCCATACATATCTGTCATTGCAAGTCGTCAAACTATTCAAGCAGTTGCATTTTTCATGTAGAGTGTAAATTCATCATTTAAAAGTGTCAGCAGGGCTTGATGGCGTGGTCTAGTGGCTAAAGTCCTCGCCTTGAACACGCCAGGAACCCATATCGGCGCCGGTTCTGATCCCGGCAGCTCCACTTCCCTTCCAGCTCCCTGCTTAGTGCCCCACGGACTTGCAGAATGTGCTTCTAGTTTCGGTGACACTTCCCAGGCCACCCACACTGAAGACACGCAGCACGTTCCTGATGCTCCGTGAACAGCTTGTCTCGGTAGCATCTACCAGACCAACTCAAAGCTTCCTAGTTCAAGTCAGGTTTGCCACCAGTTCTCCCTGGGCATCCAATCAAGAGTGTTCTGCATGAGCTGCCGTCTCCAGCTGCTTCTGCTCATGAGGAGCTCAAAGCCCTGGGAGTTGTTGATCAGTTCATGTTCCATCATTCTTGCCACCCAAACACATCAGTTTCAAACCTCTATTATTATTTCTTGATCAATTTCTGTTCTATCCATAATACACCACATTATAAAAGATGTTACTGATGTCAAGTTTTTGTGAATTATCCATTGATGCAAAGCTTACTCCCTTGATCTAGTTTATAAATTTTTATTAATATGAAGAGACCGGATTTCATAGGAACAGATTGCTTAGACATCATTCTTAGAAGATATCTGGGACCAACCAACTCTGACACACGCTGGATTAAGCCATGCTGCCTGCAGCACCAGCAGCCCACGGATGCTGGCTCAAGTCCTAGCAAGTCCCAAGTGCTCCACTTCCAATCCAGGAACTGTTAATGTGCCTGGGAAAGCAGCAGAGGACAGCCCAGGTCCTTGGTTCCCTGAACCTACACGAGAGACCCAGAAAAAGCTCCCGACTTCAGCCTGATCCAACCCCGGCTGCCCGGCTGTTGCTAACATGTAGGTGAACCAGCACAGTGAAAGAGCAGACATCCTTCCTCCTCTCTCTCCTTTCTCTCTCACCGTGTCTTTTAAATAAATTAAAAATCAAAATTCCTTTTTAAAAAAGCTAATCTTCCTCCTTTCCCTTTTCTCCTCCCTCAATTAACCACCTCATTCCTTTTTTCTTTAATTTTTACAAAAGCTCCATTTTAGTTCACTCTACAATCACAGGTTTAATGCACCACTAATAATGATATTCAACAAATAATAAAATAAAAAGACCTTAAGGTTCCTCTCTCTTTTCCCTCACTCATTCGCTCTCTGTTGTGCACACACACACTCTCACTCACACTCACACACACTCACTCACACACTCACACACACATACTCACACTCTCACACACTCACACACACTCTCACTCACACTCACACACACACACTCACACACTCTCACTCACACTCACACACACTCTCACACTCACACATACTCTCACACACTCACACTCTCACTCACACACTCTCACACACTCACACACACTCTCACCCAATACACTCACACACTCACACACTCTCACTCACACACTCACACACACTCTCACACTCACACATGCACACTCTCACACACACACACTCACACTCTCACCCAACACACTCACACACACACTCTCACACGCTCACACACTCATACACACTCTCACTCAACACACTCACACACACTCTCACACTCACACACGCTCTCACACACTCACACTCTTACTCACACACTCTCACACACTCTCACACACTCACACACACTCTCACTCACACTCACACACACACTCTCTCACACACACACTCCCTCTCATCCTCTCAAGGCTGTTGTGACTCCACTCCACAGAAACAGAGTCCTGAACCAAGGGCAATGAAAGCACTGCTTTTGTGCATTCGTGAATCGTCATTTTGAGGTAACTAATTGGACAAGAGGGTTTTTCATCAAGAGCTCCAGGTAGAATCCAATCAGAGCCAAGGAAAATTCCCCAGCTCTCCAGTTCCATATGAGAAAAAAAACTATTTTCAGATAGACACTCAAATATCCCCAGTCTATTAAGTAGACTATCAACAGATGTGGCGTTTTATTGCGATCCGATCCCCAAAGTAGCACTGTACTGTAATCAAAGCAGGAATTACACCAGAAGTAAAATGGGATCATTTATGATTTCAGCGATGGTTTTACACAAGTTGCTTCAAAAAGGTAACATAAAAATTGTCATATTCTATGATATTAAAATACATAGACCACAGATAATTTTTCTGCAACTTAATTGGAATAATTAGTCATTCTAATGTGCCAATTAAGCTTCTTTATGCCATTACCATGACTGTGTTTGGGAAAACCTATTACATTTACAAATGATACCAGAAACCTAACCATCTTTTTAGAAATTGAAGAATAAAGTTTCAACTCTGATCGCATCAGTTTTTTCTCAATGCCTCTTCTTTCTGCCATCATCTGAGTGATTTCGTTATCGCATGGGGTGTCATCTTATCAGCCCCCTCACCTCACTACACCTGTCTCTTCCCATCCCTACACCCTCTGCCCCCTTCTCTATGTCAGAACAAGCCTTCTAAATAGAGATACTGTACAGCAAGTTTTAAATAAGACATGCCATGCAGTCTATATCAGACACACTCTCCAGGGGCACTGGCCCGGTTCTGTGCACATCATCAGAAACTCCTGGTCAGAGAACTCCCAGAGACCAACAGGAGTGTTGGCTGACTTTGATCACAGCACTGTGTGTTCCTGGGAAGATCCTTCAAGTTCCTTTGTGTTCTTCCTAGGAGAACAGAAATATCTGCCCAAAGGAGTTTGGAAGTCTTGCTAAGCCCATGCCAGATGCTCAACCCACTTTAGTCTTCGGGCCCCTTCCCCACCTTCCCCTGTAGACGAAGAGTTGAGTATGTGAATTGCTGCAGGGATAAGCAAAAGGACTCACACACCCGTAGGGGTTGTTGAATGCTATGGCGTAAACCACATTCTTATGGCCCTCCATTGTGTGCAGTTCCACTCCAGACGCGGTGTCCCAGAGCTTGCACGTCCGATCGTAGCTCCCAGTGATGAAGCTAATACAAGGAACGCAAGCAGGGCAAGGTGAGAACAGCAGTGGAAATCCCACCTTCTACCTGCAGGACAGTGATTCCATCTTTCAGTTCTCATGACGTAAATCACATATTCTGAATAAACAGTTGAGGGTAGCATCAATCATCTGACATAGAAATATACCAGTTGCATCTCAAACCCTAACAAGAATCCCAAATAAAGAATAATCTTGCTAGGAAGAACGGTTTGCCTTCCAGTAACATATACATATGGATTACTGATTTTTTTCTAAGCTCTAGTACGCATCTCAATCAAAAGCATCATTCTCCCGGTAGTCAGAACATAAAACCTCAGTATCACCTTTTCCCTTTTGTTCACATTTCCCACGCAACCCATCGGTAACCGCCCTCACTACAGTCTCATGACACATTTTAATGGGGCCACTTCTCACCCGGCCCATGGCTTTCATTTCTTGCCTGAAAACAAAATAAATAAATAAAACCGTCTTCTAGTGGATCTTGGCTCGTACAAAGTCATTAAAATCCATTTTCCTCATAGAAATCGGAGAAACCACTTGAATCTTTCTCAGACAGCTTCCTGAATCTCTGGGGGAGAATTCTGAGCCCCTGAGGGCTGCAGGCGCTGGATGTCCCTGTGGTCACTGGGTGACCCAGCATCGGATGTCCCTGCGGTGGCTGGGTGACACAGCATCTTCCCATAGCACACTCCAACCAGCACATCCCGCTTCTGGGCCTCTCCAAGAACAAGAGTGGCATCTCACCCTCATGTTTCCAGCCATCCAACAACTTACCCCCTGGGACCTCGTTCAGTATATCAGTAAGTCATTCACATTACTCTTACCATGGGAGGAGTTAGCATACTGGACCTAATATTTTAAATAAAGGTGTCAGCAGAATCCTAGCCATTCTTAAAGTCTTCAACTATAAATGAGACTATCTAAATTTTATTTCATTTTGATCGATACCTTATAAACACTTGTATCAATGGTGTAGAGTATAATGCTTCAACACACAGATATATCGCAATGGTTAAATCACGGTGGTGGACACATCCACAGCCTCAAGCAATTTTCATTTCTTGATCATTCGAAACTCCTCTCTTCTAGCTATCTTGCAATGTACAGTAGGTTATAGAGTATTTAATCACCTTACTATGAACACAACATCAGGACTCACTCCTCCTTGGAGAGGAAAGCCCTGGATTGGGGACTGGTCTCTCCCCATCCACACACCCTCTACTTACATGCTGCTCTCAACCCCTACACGGTAATTCTCCTGGATAGCACACATGACTGAGATCTAGCAGCATTTGTCCAATGCCCTTTCAATATTTTGTTATGCAAATGTCTTGGAAATATTAAGATATCTTTTAAGATATTCCGCTGGGCCCAGTGTGATACCCTAGCGGCTAAATCCTTGCCTTGCACATGCCAGGATGCCATCAGGACATCGACTTGTATCTTGGCTTCTCTACTTTCCCCTCCAGCTCCCTGCTTGTGCCCTGGGAAAGCAGTGGAGGATGGTTCAAAGCCTTGGGACCCTGCACCTGTGCGGGAGACCCAGAAGAGGCTCCTGGCTTCTGGCTCCTGGCTTTGGATTAGATCAGATCAGATCAGCTCTGGCCATTGTGGCCATTTGGAGAGCAAACCAGTAGACAGAAGATCTTTCTCTCTGTCACTCTTTCTCTCTGTAGATCTGCCTTTCTAATAAAAATAAAAATTAAAAAAACATATTCCCCTAACAGATTTAAAAGAAAACATTATTAAAAAGGCAGTCTAAATGTTAAGTGGTAACAGCAAAAGATGAAAGTGAATTCTGAATCCTAAATACCCTTGCAAAGAGAAACTGATAAGCCATCGTATTTTTACTATCTTATAGGCATTTTTCATCTTTCATTGTATGGATGTAGACAATATTGGAAACTGTAACATTATGGATATTGCTATGGGTTGCACGGTGTCACCTCTCCCACCCAAACACGCACACACACACACACACACACACACACACACACACACACACTTGCGTGTTGAAGTTACTGCAGGAGCTCAGAACCTGGTGAAGTCATTACACATGCAATTCATCAAGATGAGGTCATCAAGGAGTAAGATGGACCTCTTATAAAGGGAAGTGTGGACACAGTCACACACAAGAGCTCGTGTGGGAGGGGGGTCCTTCAACACACCCATGGCCACCAGTAAGCCACCAGAGGAAGGAGAGGGCTGGGGAAGGCTCTTCCCCAAGCCCCCAAGACTGAACAACTCCGCTGACAGCTTTAACTTAAAGTGCTGTGGGAAAATAAACTGGTGTTGCTCGTGCCACTTGGGGTGTGGGCTTTAGTCCAGCAGCCGTCGCTAACCAGTGCGGATCCACCAATGTGGCAGGTCTTCAGTTCAACACCAGGCTTCTTCCCTCATGTTTCCCATGCAACTTCTGAGCCGATCACAGCCATGCTCCAAACGCTGGCTCAAAGGTTCTGCTCAGTACCCAGCAAAGCACCAAGCCGCAAACACCTTCTCTGAACCGACTGACCGTAAGCAATCCGCTGCTGTCCCTGTCTGACTGAGCAGAGTGCAATTCTCTCCACCGGTCCTGTGCCTGAGTCCAGCTACTTGTCAGCAGGAATGCTCACTGAGCTCCCCGTGAGCCTCTGCCCACAATGGCACACAGGCTGCAGGGAACCGAGCTTAGAACAGCTTGTGCGTTCCCCGGTACTCGGCAGAGTCCTAACTCAGAGAAACAAGCACCATGTCTTTAAACTGCAGCTTCGACAAACACACATTTTATCTCTTGGTTTCTAAAACATAAACAGAGGCGCTTACCAGGAGCCTGACTTGTTAAGGGCGACATTTGTCAGTGGCAGTATATGGGCTCTGAGAACCTTCAGGGAAAGGAAACAGTGTTTTAGATTCAAAGCAAAGTGAGTGTAACACGGTAACTCGGATTTCTAGCCAATGAAGTCTTAATTATGCATAATAAGTGGGCAATATCCAGTATCCAAACAAATGAGAACAAACACCATTCCTTTTATGATCAAGACAACCTGTCTGCTGGTTAGCAATAACTACAAAGCAATATTTTTTTTTCTCATCAATTTACCTTTAAGGTGAATCATGGCTACTAAACAGGTTACCAAATAGCGACCAGTTCGTAACATTTTTCTCTAACATGTAGCATAAAGTGCTGCATGCATGTAAGAAAAGTATATAAAGTTAACTTACTAAATATAGTTCAGAGGTCTTAACGTGAATCAAAGTTCCTTTGAGAACGTGCCATCTTTTCCTGCATTGTCCAACTCAATAAATACTTATGGGATTTATTTACATAAAGTGCACAATCTATGAATGAAATGATCAGACTGGCTGAGACAGCCCAGTTCATGTCTGCTGCCAGAATAGGACAGAGTTCTCTTCCTCCATCAGAAATTTTCCCTGGGAGTGAAATTCACAAGACCACGACTTATCCCACGTTTGTAGTTAAACAGTGCCACCTGCTGGACACAAATAACCTCACCCAGAAAACAATGAGGGCCTGGCTACTTTGTACACCACAGAATAGATTATGCATAAATAATAGTTGCGTGCTATTACAGTAATTACATACCAATTATGAAAATAAAAAGGCACAATAAATTCTAGAAAAAGACACTGAGTATTTAACAAAGAAAAAATAGTAGTTGCTCTTGAAGTACTGAATGACACTTGTTGATTTTCAACTCAAGCATCAAAAACTTCAAAGAAAACAAACAACATATTTCATCACACTAAAATCATATTTGCCACATAAATATATAAGTAGTGAAATACAGAGTAAATTACAAGGAAGCAGAAAACACGAAGTGTAGCTATGCTATGAAATCTGACTTTCCAACGCTACTTTAGCTCTAGTTTTCATGAAAGGTTATTAATAGCATTACAAATTTATCTTTATAAAGATAAGCTAAATGTATTGAAAACGTTTATTTGAAATTCATTTAGCAATGACAGAGACTTGGTAAGTCTGTAATGACAAAGAATTCACCCACGTTTCATGGAAACCCAGTTTTAGGGGACGGGGAATCTGCTGCTCATCAGGGGATTCGCTTCACGGGCAGCCGTCTTACCTTAAAGAGCTGGAAGCTGTGGTTGCTGTGCTGCCCCAGCTTCTCCTGCAGCCTCCGTATTAACAGGGTGACCTGCTCCACCTTGGACGCCGTGACCAGGGGCTCCGCCTTCTGGATGTCTTCCACCAGAGCCCTGACGTCAGTGCTGAAATTCACCCGAAAAAAAAAAAAAAGTTACTCTTCTCCCATGCAGGTGCAAGGCGTGAAGAAGCACAAGCTGCTTTGTGACAGGTGGAAAACACCACCGCATTCCCCACCAGCATCAGCCACAGCCTGGGCAGCACACAGCTGGGGCTGCCACGTGTGGCCAGCCAAGACGGAGCCACAGCTGGGGAAAGGTGCGGCTGGGCTGCCACGGAACTGCCTGCCGCTGTGGTGGGAGCGTGGGGGTCCTTCCGCAGCATCGTCAGTGCAGTCGGTGTGACTAAGTCAGGAGACACGGGCCCTAAGTCCTGAGAGGGCCAGCAAGGTTCCTGCACGCACGGCTGGCATCTTAGAGAAAAAGTACTGAGTGCGCCTGGTACCCCATTTTCCACTTTACACGTGTCTTCTGCTGTGCAGTGCTGGACCACCTGGGGGATGTACCACTTTCATCGTGCCTGTTTCGGAAATGCCAAAACTGAGGTCCAGGAAGTTGAAGCTCTAAATACTTCCAGGGAAAGAAAAACACACACGCAAATAAATGTTTAAAGAACTCTGATGTGACGGGGCACTGTGGCACAGGGAGCTAAGGAGCTGCCTGCATCCCGTATCAAAGTGTTGATTTGCATCTCAGTGACTTATGCCTTGGTTATTCAGCTTACAGGTCCCTGTTAATGCTCCCTGGGAAGCAGTGGATGACGGGAAACCTCTGGAATTAAGCTGTAACCAGCTGTAACCCTGCGAGAAAGATCCGGGAACTTAGGGCTGAGATCCTGCGGCACTTATAACAGGAAAACGTGGGCAAGGAACTTCCTGATCCTCAAGCTTTGGTCGTAGATCAAAGAGAGGTGCTTTTCTCAGTTTCTTTCATGCGGATGCTGCTTAATTATTAGTAGCCTGTTCGTTGGTTGACCTCCCTTGCTGGTGTACCTGCATATCACATCCTATTGCAGAGCCCTCCTCCTTACGCCTGCGCGACCCTCAGTCTTTCAAGCCTTTTGCTGGTAGTCAAGTTTGGCTATGGACCGTCAGTCAGTAATCCGTGTGTGTGACAATCGACTCCGTGCACCGAGTCCCCTTGCCGCAGGACGGTGAACAGGGGATGACTCAAGCTCTTGAGCCTCTGCCACCCAGGCGGGAGAGCCAGAAGCAGTTTCTAGCACCTGACTTTAGGCTGGCCCAGCTCCGACTGCTGCAATCATTTGGGGAATGAACAGTAGATGCAAGTCCCTCCCTCTTCCTCTCCCCCTCTGCCATTTTCATATACACTTTTTTTTTAAGTTTCTAACTCCTATCACAGAATTGGTATTATTATTATTTTCATCCACAGACAACAGCTTCCCCTTCTCTGAGGCTGGGCTACCTTGAGCACGTAATCTCTCCTCGAGGGAGGGGATCTGGGTGTGGTGACCTCAGCGGGGATTTCCTCTGGGCTCACAGCACGTCCAGAGACACAGATGTGTCTTCCTCCTCTCACTAGGAGGAGCATGTGCTGTCACATGAATGAGCTGCAAAGGAATTCATAGGCTCAGGCATGGGGTTGAAATCCAACAACGGGTTTTCTTCAAAGATGTTAAAGTTATTACCAATCAGGCAAGTCTGAGGAAGGGGCCCGGGGAAGGGGAGCCCGGGGGAATCCTGCAGGATGCTGGACAAAATCGGGGAAATCGGGGGACCAAGGAAGGACACTCTGGGAAAGCTGAGGAAAACTGAACCCAGCATGGTTAACAGGGAACAGTCACTATAAGCCCTGCTGTGTTGATCCTCACAAACCTTACTGTAGGGGCATGGGAGATGTGGGAACTCTGTCTCCACATTTCTAAAACCATTCTACACGATAGGTTTAAAATACAATAGGCATAGCAGGCTAATCCTCTGCCTATGGCACCATATCCCATACGGGTGCTGGTTCAAGCCCTGGCTGTTGTACTTTAAAGCCATCTCCCTGGTAATGGTCTCGGAAAGCAGCAGACACTGCCTCAAGGCCTTGGAACCCTGCACCTGCATGGGAGACCTGGAAGAAGCTCCTGACCCCTGGCTTTGGTCAACTCCTCTCCAGCCATTGCAACCATGTGTGGAGTGAACCAGCAGATAGATTTCTCTCCCTCTCCTCTCTTTCTCAGTTACTTCTTTTCTCTGTAAATCTGCCTAACAAATAAAGATAAATAAATCTTTTCACATGGTATTTAAATCATGCCTGTTTATAGAAAAGCATAGGCCGACGATCTGTGCTCTGCCTCATGCTGTCCACTAGCAAGATCCTCAAGTTTAGCTCGGCACAACAGGAGATAGTTCATCAAGGAACGACTTTCGAAATTAAAGGATGCCAACCGTGGTGGGGCAGGTTAAGCTGCCACGGAGGAAAGCTGTATCCCACATCAGCGGGCCGGCTACTCCATGCTTCCCATCCAGCACCCCACCACTGCATCAAAGACACAGAATCAGCAGGCTGAGTACCTGGTCTCCTGGAGGGTGTGGGCGGTGCTGCGTCTGGTTCCGGTGCGGCCCGACACAGCTATCGGGAGGATGCTTGTCATTGCTTCACCCTCCCCTTGCCTTTTCAATAAATCAATCTTCAAAAACACGTGACGTACACATTGCCAGTTGCACGTGACTCATCCGCATTTCACGTTCCATTTCAAGGTTCTCCAATAAAATTTTAGTTGTGGAACCAACTTACCTAGCGTCTAGATCAAGCAAATCTATGGATTTCATTTTTAACTCTCCATTTTTTTCATACTCCAACATGATTCCTGTGGAATAAACAAACATAATGAACATTTATGATGAAAGCCCATGCCAAAATTAATCTATTAATTGAAAAGTAATTGAAAGTTAGAGTTACAGAGAGATGAGAGAGAGAGATCTTCTGTATGCTGGCTCATTCCCAATGGCTGTAACAGCCAGAGCTAGGCTGTTTCAAAGCTGGGAGTCTGGAGGTTCTTCCAGGTTTCCCATGAGGACCCGAGGCCTTCAGCCATCCTCCACTGCTTTCCCAGGCCACTAGCAGGGGAGCTGGATGGGAAATGGAGCAGCCAGGAGGAGCTGGAGCCGACGTGGGGATGCCAGTGCCATGGGTAGAGATGTAGATTGTTACGCCATGGTGCCAACCGCTATTCTCACTTTCTAAACATCTGCTTTTCAGACATAAAATAAAGGCAGTGGTGTCGAGCTCCAAAACAGGACTGACCGTGCAGGCCGACTTTCCCTGCTCTTTCTCTGGAAACGTAGACAGAAAGCCACTTCAGACTTGTTCAGTTCTGTTGCTAACCAGAAAAAAATAGCTTATCTGATAACAGAATGTTCAATCGTTTTTTTAGAAAAAGTTTTTTTGAAAGTCAGATATACAGAGGGGAGGAGAGATAGAGAGGAAGATCTTCAGTCCACTGATTCATTCCCCAAGTGGGAGTTTTGTTTTTGGAGTACTGAGATTATCATTGTCATTATTGATTTTTTTTCCCTATTTTTGGTACCCCAGGCAGTGGGATGGTTTTTCCATATGTAAATGTTTTATTGTTCTCTGTGTATGCTGTATTTCTTTAAAAGTATATACAACATTCTGGGCCTGGTGCAGTAGCCTAGCAGCTAAAGTCTTTGCCTTGCATGAGCCAGGATCCCATATGGATGCTGGTTCTAATCCCAGCAGCTCCACTTCCCATCCAGCTCCCTGCTTGTGACCTGGGAAAGCAGTCAAGGACAGTTCAAAGCCTTGGGACCCTGCACCTGCATGGGAGACCTGGAAAAAGCTGTGGGCTCCTGGCTTCAGACTGGCTCAGCTCCTGCTTTTGTGGCCATATTTCACACTAAGAGAAGATAGTGACTACTATAAAGATTTTGTATATGATTTTTAAAAACCACTGACTGCGGTCAGGATTTTACCACTGCTCATGATACTGACATCCCATATGAGATCTGTTCCAGCTGCTCTGCCTCTATTCCAACTCCCTGCTAAGGAGCCTACAAAAGCAAGGACGGACGGCCCTAGGGCTTGGCACCTGCCATGCACGTGCGAGATCAGGTGGAGTTTCTACCTGGCCCAGCTCCTGCAGTGGCAGCTATCTGGGGTCAGTGAGTAAGGAAATACATAGCATAAAGGAAGCAGTAATACACTTGTGTATAATTGAGAGAAAGATTGGGAAGAACAGGCATCTGACAGCACACACAGCAGAATGCAGCATTTTAGTATAGTGGTTAAGGTGTCTGCGTCCCATATTAGAGTCACTGAATTTGATACATTGTTCCTGCTTCTGACTTCAGCTTTCTGATGATGCAAACCCCGGGGAGGAGGCGATAAAGGCTCAAGTAACTGGGTTCCTGTCACCCACTGGAGGCCTGGAATGAATTCCTGCCTCACTGCTTTGGCCCATCCCAGCTCCAGCCATCTTGGGCATTTGGATAGTGAACCAGAAGAAGGTAGTACTTTCCTCACTCACTCTTTCCTGGTCTCGTCATCTATTAAAAATAAATAAATGAATAAAACTTGATTGGGAAGCAATTTAACATTGTTCTCATAAAATTAATGGTGTTCAAAGCCTTTTAGCTGACTAGCAAAAACGAGTTGAGTTCTAGAAAATCCTAAATCTGAAACAAGCAGATTTGACTGATTCAACTGTAACACCATGTTCAATCTGCCATGACTGCTGAGCTGTGATATGAGTAAGAGGCATGGACAAGGGCGATGAGGAATGCTAAGTGGGCTGCTTCAGGCCCTGCCTGAGACCCCAGCTGTGTGTATCCAAGCTCCGGTCTGAATCTTGGCTTCTCTCTGTTTCTGATCCAGCTTCTCGCTGACACACCTAAGGAGGCAGCGGACGACAGCTCCGTGTTTGCCTTCCTGACACCCGTGCCAGAATTTCTGACTTCTGCCCAGTCCTGCCTGTTGCACATATTTGGGAAGTAAAGCATCAGTGATCAATTTCTCCCTCTCCCTGCCTCCTTCTCCCCCACACTTTTGAATAAGCAAATCTTTAAACATATACATATAAACAGACAATAGATGCACACGGCCATAGTGTTCATGTCTTTCTTCAGTGATAGATACAGGCATTGTCATGCTTTTCATCTTCTGTTGGTCGTATGATTCCCAAAAAGGTTAGGTACAAAGCCTCTGTCCCCAGAGCTCTGACGATATTAAAAAGTATTAGTGTCTAAAGTGCTCAGTGTATCCATCAGTTTATTTAGTTCCGAAGGAAAAAAAAAAAAAGACTGCACACAAAGACTGCTGTCATCCGGTGTCAGATGAAAAGCATGGGCTCAACACCCACTCTCCCTAAGGTGAGGCATTTCTGAATTAATGAAGGGATTAAGATAAAGAGCGAATGCCTGGTGGTGTGGTTAGCCGTATCGATGCTCCACATGTGTAGTTCGCCAGGAATTTAGGCAGAGAGAGGAAGGAGTTACTGAGTGCTAAAGAGAGAATGCCTCTGAGTGGGAGGACCCAAATTGGACAAATGTTCTTTATAAGCAGAAGAGCTCACGGCAGCACTGGCATTATTCAGCCGTGAAGGCTTGTTTTGCTACTTGATAATGTAATTGAAGCACCAGCTGCTCTTCAGTGTGACCTTAGAAACATGCATATAATATGGCTCACCAAAGGTTGGAATTGAGAAATAAAACAGCTAAGCACATGAAGTCATGTGGCGCCACTGTAAGATAATCATTCATTAATATTTAATGTCATGGCTCATTAATTGCTATAATTGTAGATGTGAATCCAAAGAATTCTTGGAATCTAAGAGTGCTCTGAGAGCCTCTTCCTCGCAGAGCTGAAGCAGATGTCAGGACACACGTTTTGGACCTTCTCACCTTTCAGGAGAAATCCTAGGCACTCTATCATTCATTCTCCCATTCAACTCATCCAAACTCCGTGCTGTAAGACTGAGACACAGGGACTAACAAGGGAAGCAAAATCTCCTCCTTTGCTGACTGCTGTTTCAGAGCATGAAACATGATACCAGCAAAGAGAACAGGAGTATGTGGTGTGTTGAATTGAGATCACCTGAGAGGGAGAACAAAAAAAGATCAAGGCACAAGGGTTGTAATACATTTTGAGAAGATGAACATTCTAGAAATGAGCTAAAGAACAATTAAACAATTAAACTGTGTAAATGCCCAGGGAAAGGTTGCTCCAGACACAAAGACTGACAGTGGCAAAGACTGTAAGGAAGGGCACTTTATCCCATCCACATCAACAATATTGTCAGAGGGGGCAGAAGGAATACTCAAGGCCGGAGATCCTTGGGACCACAGTCCTCTTACCGTCAATGAAATGAAGGGCCCCTGGAGGAGTTGATGGGAAGACTGGTACGGTCAGGGCGACAGTCTTTAAATATCGATTTTCATATTTTTATTTGAAATGTAAAGTTTCAGAGATAGAGATGTCTTCCATGCTATGGATCACTCACCAATGGCTGCAGTGGAAAGCTGGGCCAGGAGCTTCTCCTGGGTCTCCCATGTCAGTACAAGGGTCCAAAAACTTGAGTGATCCTCTACTGCTTTCCCAGCCCACATCAGGGAGCTGGGTCAGAAATGAAGCAGGTGGAACACGAAGCGGAGCTCATGTAGGAGCCCAGCACCACAGGCAGAGGCTTAGCCTACTAGCCCATGGTGCTGGCCCATTACAGTGAATTCTAACAGAGTCAGCCTTCTGCTGTTCTGAGAACAGAGTAAAAATGGGAATTTAGGACCAGGCTTGATAACCTAGTGGTTCAACTCCTTACCTTGAACACGCCAGGATCCCATATGGATGCTGGTGGCTGTACTTCCCAATCAGCTCCCTGCTTGTGGCCTGGGAAAGCAGTCGAGGACAGCCCAAAGCTCTGTGACCCTGAACCTACGTGGGAGACCTGGAAGAAGCTCCTGGCTTCAGATTGGCTCAGTTCCAGCCATTGCGGCTGCTTGGGGAATAAACCATCAGATGGAAGATCCACCTCTCTCTCTCTCCTCCTTTCTGTATATCTGACTTTCCAATAAAGGTAATAAATCTTCAAGAAAAACAAAACAAACAAAGAACCCAGAACTTAGTAATAGGGACAATAATGACAGAAATGTGAAGAGAAGTTGTTGGTTCCTTCATACGTTTTTTAAGTAGAACTGACAGAATTTGTCATTTGACCCAATGTCAAGTGCAAAAAACGAAACTGAGTCCAAAATTTTGGTGTGAGCAAGTATAGAAACAGGACTTGACGTAGCTGGTGAGAGGAAGACCAAAAGAGTCTCCCAGTGGGAGCATCCCAGTGGGCGCATGATGAAGGTGAAAGGCACGTGGCTTCTTAAGGCTTGAGAAGAATAAGATCATAGCACACACAGGAGGATGCGTAAGAATCAGCATCTTTCTCCCTCTTTCCTTCTCATAAAAAAAAAAAATGCCAACACTAAAAAAAAACAACTGTAATACAGTTAGATTCAGTTATGCTGATCCTAAATTCCTCATTCTTAAACTCTACAACCAAAGAAGAATTCATTGTGGAAGCATTCATGGGAACCAGACAGTGTGTGAGCATAGGGAAGAGGAAGTTGTTAGCACCCAAAAAGAACAGGCTACTAATCTTATTACAATTTTCCAACTGGTCCCAGCACAATAGTGAGGCTAAACCCTCGTTTTGCATCTGCCTGGACCAATGTGGGAGACCCAGAGGAAGTTCTTGTCTCCTGACTTTGGATCAGCTCAGCTGTGGCCGTTGTGGCCACTTGGGGATTGACCTAGCAGATGGAAGATCTTTCTGACTCTCCTTCACTCTGTAAATCTGCCTTTATAACAACAACAACAACAAAAAATCAAGATAAACAAATCTTTAAAATTTTGCAGTCACTCTGTGACACTTCGACAACCTTCCAGGCTCTGCGAGAAAGTAAGTGTCCCGTCTGGGAAAGTTCACTCTTTAGGGAAAGCTGCTACCCAGGCTCCCCCTTTTCGTGAGGTTGAAGCAGCATGATGGGAACGTTTTCACATTTATTATCAAAAACTCCCTTGCCAGGGTTGACCTGTTTCATCACACATTCACTCCTAAGTCGAAGGCCTTTGACACGGCAGCGAAGAGGTGCCGATGCCCCACGAAGTGTCTGAAAGGGGCAGCTATTTAGATATTTAAAACATGACGAATAAGTAGAGTGTCAGATGATGACAATTATGTGCAAAACAAAAAGTGGCACGCAATAAAAATCGGTGAGGGACACTTGGGATGAAGGGTAATGGAACAAGAGAGACTGACCCAGAAACCCAATGAAGATAGACGCTATCCACTCCAAGGTCTATTGGAAGCCGAATCCAGAAAAGAAGACAAGGAGTGTGAGGACTTCCCTGAAGTCTTGAAAGAACAGCAAAAGAAGAAAGAACCACTTCCATTGAGCGTAGAAGTGTGAGTTCCTGGAAGCGAACACCACACCAAGCTTGCTGTGCAGATCCCCTCGCAAGCACACGGGAAACTACTGAAGATGCAGAACTCGGCCCCTGCTGCATGCTGCCGGCAGGCCGATGGTAGGGCATGTAGTTGAAAGCTGAGAATCCACTTCACGAGCTGCTGAAGTGTTCCAGCAAGAGGTGGTGCGGTGAGATGGAGGTTTAGCCAGGGAGCACAGCTGGGAGCAATGCTGGCTCAAGACATCTGAGTCACGGACAAAGTCACATGAAGTCACAGGCTGAGAAGTAGAGCTGAGACTGCCTGCTGATGAGCTGGAATAAGGCAGTGCAGAGAGAAACCATGCATGGTCATGACAGAGAAATGAGACATGAACCGTGAGGTTTCTGCCAAAAAAAAATTGAATGGGTGGTGATGCGTAGTCTCCAAATGAGGCACAGGCTGAGGAAATCACAGAACCAGGTTGGGACTGCAAAGCAGGAATTTCTTTTTACCTTTTTGTTTCCGAATAGTACTAAATTCACGTAACAAAAACTGCAGGGTTGTAGAAAAGTGTCCAGTATATCCCACATCCACTTCTTTTTTGTTAACATATTAGTATATTTGCTACAATACATCAATCACACCCACCTTCCCTATTTTTAATTCAAATTCCCTGTATCCCTCCCACCCTTCTAAGACTCTTATAATTAACATTCTCTGCTCACACTGAAGTGCGTTTTCAACTCCCACGTATCAAGAACATATGGGATTTTCTTTTTTATCTTTTCATGTCTGACTTATTTCTCTTAATGTGATGCCCTCTAGTTTTATCCATTTTGCTGCAAATGAGAGAATGTCAGAGTTTTATGGATAAATGGTCAGTGTTTTCATTGTGTACAAATACACCAGATTTCTCGACCCATTTATCTGATGATAGACACTTTAGTTGATATGATATCTTGGCTATTTACAGGTTCTTAAAGATATGTTTATTAACTAAAAGGCAGAGTTATAGAGAGAAGTCTTCCATTAACTGAGTTATTCCCCAGATGTATGCAAGAGCTAGGGCTAGGTAAGTCAACAAAGCCAGATGTCAAGACCTCCACCCAGGTCTTGCATGTGTGTCCTTGGGCCCTCCTCTGCTTTCCCAGGCACATTGTTAGCATGCAGCGAGGTCAGAAGTGGAGCAACTGGGGCTCACAATGAGATGCCAGTGTCACAGGCAGTGATTTGCTCCACTGTGTCACAATGCTGACCCCATACCTTCTCTATTGGGCATAGAGCTACAATAAACATGGTAAAGTGGGTATCTGTTGGCTACAAAGCAACAGTAATTAAAAGTGCATAAAACCAACATGTAAACGAATGGAACAAAGCATACAGCTCAGAAATCAATCTACACACATACAGGCAACTGATTCTTGACAAAGGTGCCAGAACATACGTTAGAGAGAGTAGGGTCTTTTCAGGAAATGCTGCTGGCAAAACTGACTATACATAGGTACAAGAGTAAAGCTGGGTCCTGCATCTCAGCAAACACAGAAACCAGCTCAAGATGGATCAAGACTTAAATATTACACTTGCAACCATGAAATTGCTGGAAGGAAACACAGGGAAAACACTTCAAGACATTGGCATTGGCAATGAGTTTATTTTTGTTTGTTTTGATAATACCTCAACAGCAATGGCAAAAATGGTAAAACTACACAAACAGGATTTTATCAAATTCAGAAGCTTCTATACAACGAGAACTGGGAGATCATATCTACAAGCCACTTGTCTGACGAAGAATTCATATCCAGAGTATATCAGGAACATAAAAACTCAGGGTAAAAATACAACTTGTTAAGAAGTGTGCAAATGACCTAAATAGAATATTCTCAAAAGAATAAAACAAATCAGCAACAAACATATGAAAAAAAAATTCAATATCGCTACCTCCAGGGAATACTCAAAAACCACCTGAACCCTTTCATAATGGCTGGCCTGTTATCAAAAAGACTGAAAGTAACAGGGGGAAGGGGAGAGAAGAAAGGGAACTCTCAACACGTTGTTGGTGGGAAGGTGGGAATGCAAATGAATTGCGGCCACTATGAACACCAGTTTGGAAATTTCTGTGTTATTAGGAATAACATTTTTATGCACTCCCATAGATTTCAGCAGTTCCTCTCCTAGGTATACATCCAAAACACAAGACTATTTGAAGATGGGAGAATGTTGAAATTATATTGGGCACCTCATAGTGATAGATGGAGGCTTTGCTAAGAAAAATTAGACATTCAGTGTTAAGTTCAAATCCCACCCTTCCTGTGTCTATTCTAAATCAAACTGATCCTTCACGGCCACTCCCCTTCGAAATCTTTGCGACGCGTCAGCCCCAAACCATCCGTTTGACAAATCACCCGTTGCTTTGTGAGTAGTTTTCAACTGTTTTTAATTATAAATCAAGATCTGTGTCTCTCCTATGAAACAGAATGACAAGACAAGGATATCTTCCTCGGCGACCACAGCATTTCGGGACCCATTTCCTATGATTTAACTCACTGGGATCAAGCATTTACGGATCTCTACAAAGTCCTGGGGTGCAAAGCACAAAGCTGCTGACGCACGTGTCCTCAATGAAAGTGGGCAGGCTGACCAGCACAGCGCGGCAAGCAGCCAGCCACACGCTGGACCCAATACCCCAGGACATCTCCACAGCTACCTGTTCCTTGGCCCTTTTTTTCATGCCTGTGTTATCAGGAAGCATACACATTTAACAATTTAGATTTTTGTTCAGGAAGGAAAAAAGAAGAAGAAGAAGAAGAAACTAAACGACACACACACAAACTTTTAAAAGTTTTGAGCAACAACAGTCAAGCATCCATCCGAAGGAGTGAGAGCTGACTCGGGAAGGACAGGGTCACCTAGTCCGAGACCCCGCCGGCCCCCAGCGCCCCCGCGTCCTCCTGGGCCTCTGCACTTGGTCCAGAGCCCGGGTGCAGCAGGGCGCCCAGCATACCTGGCGGGTAATACCGCAGCAGGAGGCTCTTCAGCTTCATCTCCTCGCTCTGGGATCCCCAGCCGGCAGCCTTGGTCGCCATGGAAACGGACAAACAGCGCCTGAGTGCGGAGACGAATGCGCAGGCGCCTCCGAGCTTTTCTTGCAGGTGGATTCTCCAGGCAGGACTCCCGGGCTGCTGAGAACCAGTGGGGCGGCTGGGGCCTGCCCCGGGCTCCATGGCGCGAGGAGAGGGGCGTCCTCACGGCGCCTGGGGTGAGCAAGGACCGCAGTGCCTGGGGTCTTCGGTGAGGGTGGCCTCACAGCAGCGAAGCATGGGTCTTGGCCCCCAGCTGCGTGCCGGAGCGCTGTACTTTCCCAACAGTAAAGAGGACGTGAGGAAGGGGGGAGGTAACTCCGGTTCTAGGTCACCACTCGGGGTCCCTCCCAGGACTCAGTCCACTCTGTCTCCTCACAAAGGAACCTCAGCGTCATCACCTCCACCTCCTGACGCGTGCCACGCGCTGTGCGACATGGTTCAACATACAGAAGAGAGGGAATTGTTGGAAGTTTTAAGCAGTGCTTGTGCTTAGGTTCATATGTCACTTACAATGTGGACTTTGGGGCCCGGTGCGGTAGCCTACCAACTAAAGTCCTCTTATTGAACACGCCAGGATCCCGTAACATAGCTGACTAGTATCCCAGCGGCCATGATCCCATATGGGCACAGATTTGTGTCTTGGCTGCTCCACCTTCCATCCAGCTCCCTGCCTGAGGCCTGGGAAAGCAGTCAAGGATGGCCCAAAGCCTTGGCATCCCGCACCCAAGAGGTTGATCTGGAAGAAGCTCCTGGCTCCTGGCTTTGGATCAGCTCAGCTCTGGCCGTTGTAGCCACTTGGGGAGTGAATCAGTGGATGGAAGATCTTCCTTTCTGTCACTTCTGTATATCTGATTTTCCAATAAAAAATTTTTTAAGAAAATAAAATATGTGCTTTTGCAAATTAGCAACTGTACAGTGGAGAAATCTGTTGGACTCCGCCTTAGCATGTGACCAAAGGTAATATCACCAATATTAGGGAAAACTGACACCTGGCAGCTGTAACTGCAACACATGAAGAGAATACAGCCCAAAAAGTGGTGTTCCCCGGGCACTGGGGATGCACGTATAACTCACTGGGTGGGACACAAAGATTAGTTACTCCTCACTAGGGTATTGAAGATTTCTCTGCACACCCCTCCTAAAACTGTTCACCTAAACTGTTGACATATGTCTTGTTGGAGTTATAGAGTTAGACTACCCGAAAAACAGCCAGGTTCTGCAAAATCATGCTCCAACGCTATAAACTGCTAAATACTAAAATTAAGATAGACATGAGACAGCTGAATAGTAATCTGTAGCCATTTTGAGGTGTATGGAACCCAGTTGTATATAAACTAATAATTGAAATGTCAATGTAGAAGTCATAGGATATGGTTCAGAACTTGCACTCTTTTCTCTCTCTCTCTCTCTCTCTCTCTTTGAACATGGTGGTTACTCAATACCATGTCAACTATTTCATTACATCATAAATTGTTACTGATGCAATGTCGGGGCTTTAAATTGATCGGGATGATACTCTGTTGGCTCTACCTTCAGACCAGAGATGGTCTCCCCAAGAAACTGCTGAACTTATCTGGACAATAAGATGCTGGACTCTATGCTTTGTAGACGCTTGCAATGAACGAATCTCAACTGAATTTGAACTGTGGTAATGCAACAAGGTGGAGGAATCCACCACGGGGGGTGGTTGGGAAGGGGAGGGGGAAGTCCCACTGCCTATAAAACTGTGTCACATAATGTAATGTAATCAATTAAAAAAAACAAGTGTTGTTTCCATTTCTAATTGGGAGGAAATAGAACAGCAAATCCAACTGAGGAAACGATTAAAACACAACTGTCAAGACCAAGAAAGAAAGAAATGGTAGACTGGGGATTTAGTTATTCCAGATTAATGGACATTAAAAATATAGAATGACTTAATACTCTATGTGATCTTGGATCTTGGAACAGGAAAACTATAAAGACCTCATCAGGTCACTGGGTGAAATCTGACTAGGGATTGTGGCCTAGAAAAGGTAGGATATGGCATTGAAACGGTGGCATTAAAGAAGAATCATCCACCTGCAGGACGGACATCCATCACAGGCGCCCAGCTGCTCCAATTCAGACACAGGGGAGGATGGCTCAGGTCCTGGGAGCCATGCACTTACCTGTGGGACTAGCCCTGGCTTTGGGTTGCCTCTGCTCTGGCACTTGTGGCCATTTGGGGAGTGAACCAGAGGATGGCAGAACTCTCTCTCCCTTTCCTTCTCTTTCTGTTAAATATGCCTTTCAAATAAAAAATTTAAAAAGGAAAAAAAAATAGTAGGTTATGATGCTATATTTCTTGATGTTGATCATTGTACTGTGCTTGCGTAAGACAATGACTTTCTCTTGGGAAAAGCGCCCTGATTTTATTCCTTCATTAAAAGGGTCTGTGTACTTGTGATAATCCCTCCAATGAGCCTGAAGAATATTACATGTGGATAGGTGTGTGTGTGCATGCAGGTGCACACATGCATGTCTATTAAGACAGGTCAAGACACTTGAGAAAATCATGTGTTGAATCCAGGCAACCAGTTCCTTTCCTTTCCTGCCACTTCTCTGTCCAGTTTGAAGTTATTGCAAAATAAGAAGGGGCCTAGGTTTCCTGCAGGCCAAACCAGGATGCTGAGGATAAAGATGAAAAAGAAGACGTAGCTCCTCAGACAACTTCAATTTCACTCCCTGCTTCATCCTTAATCTTCTTTCTAAGATTTATTTTTATTGAACAGTCATATATACAGAGAGGAGCAGAGACAGAGAGGAAGATCTTTCATCCACTGACTCACTTCGCAAGTGGCCACAATGGATGGAGCTGAGCTGATCCAAAGCCAGGAACCCAGAGCCTCTTCCAGATTCTGGGTGCAGGGTCCCAAGGCTTTGAGCCATCCTTGACTGCTTTCCCAGGCCACAAGCCGGGAGCTGGATGGGAAGCTGGGCTGCTGGGATTAGAATCAGCACCCACATAGGATCCTGGCATGTGTAAGGCAAGAACTTAACCCAGTAGGCACTGCGCCAGGCCCTCTCTTAATCTTATCTCTCTCCTCGCCTCTCCATGGGATGAGGGTCCTTATCACTGCCGTCTACTCATCATCCGTGTGTTTCCAATGTGCCTGCCCTGCAGTTCTTCTGTTTCAGGTACAGGCTGTGCATGGTTTCTGAAACAAACAGTACAGGGGTATCCATTTGCTGCTCGAAATGGATTGCAGCTCCACTTTTACAGCATCTCCCTTAGCTCAAGCAGCGATAGATCATGATTGGCAACCATATTCCTGTCATTGTCAAGAGCCTCTTTTCCACAAAGCAGACGTTGGAGGTGAGCGCCAGTATTCCCAGCTGTCAAGTCCAGCAGGAGTCAGCACCCCTCACCTATGTCTGCCTGAGAAGACCAGGAATGAGATCCATTTACAGGTTCTGAAGTCTAACAGTTTCTTCTGAATTCTGGTTTCAGGCATGCAGGACTCGTAGCATCCTAATTGGTGGCCCAGAGCCTTCGTCAGGAACCAACCTTGCTCACTGCCTCGCCCCTCTCTAGGAAAATGATGGATCCAGGGGGGAGCAAGTGAAGTGCCTGAGTGCAAGACAATTTCTCTTTCAGTTTTGGCCTAAACTGAGGTTAAAACTGTGCTTCATTGACTCATAGTTTACTCATTCCCAGAAGCTGCCGCATGATTCTCTGTCAGCCTGTTTTGCTGTAAGTCAGCGGCAGTGCAGCGCCAAGAGTTAAGCAAGATGAGCAGAAGTCTACAAAAACAGGACTCCTACGTTCCGCAGGTGACGGGTGCTCTGTCGGTGTGTGGCTGACCGTGACGTGACCCCTGCACAGGATCGCGTTAGAGAATCCCTGAGAGTCCTGGAGTAATTTCAATCTGGCAGTTGTACTTTATATGAACATTGACTCACTAGAGCAATTCTTAACACGCATGTAGACCTGTGCATATCCGTAATATGTGATATTTGATAAAGTATACATTACTAGTTATTCTAATTAATATCATCAGTATAGAAGCTAAATTATTTAATTCATTAAGATGTAACTGCTTTCTCCATGGGCCCTAACAGATTTATATTTTTAAAGAAATGGATGTGGTATCAAAAAGAATGAAATTCTACAGTTTGTAACAAAATTCTCCTCCAAAGTTATTCAACTGCAACTAGAGACAGTTGTGCTCAATGAAATAAGCCAATCCCAACAGGACAAATATCACATGTTCTCTCTGACGAGAGAGGGCTGCTAAGGCAGCCCTCATGCAAAATACAAGTTGAATAGATATATAGGTTTATATACCTAGAATAACTATATAATGGAGACCAGTATACCGAGAAGTGAAGACACATTGCAGGATGCAGCTCCACTCCCAAATAAAAGATGGACTCCCAATGAAACTGTCAAATACATCCTCACAACAGGACACTACTTCCTACCATTGTATACCTACAATATCAGGCTATACTTAAGCAGCAGAACGATGGACTTGAGACTATTATTGAAGCACTATATTATTGTCAAAATATGGGAGAAAACGATGGGAGAGGGTAGAAGGAGAAATTCCTGAACCTATGGAACCGTGTCATGAAAAATACAAAGACAAATAATTCTCATGAGATTTTAGGAGGGAGGAGAGTATTCTATGTCTTAATAAGCCAGAAGTCACCCAAATAAGAGCAACACAGAAAGCCCACACATGTACTAGGCATGAGCAGATGTACCCACAGTGGTCATGTTGCTACCTGCCATGAGTAGAACTCAGTAGATCTTTGGTCAATTGCCTGAGGATTTGGAAGATCCATTTGGGACAGAAAGTAGCCAGTTACAAGCAGGACTAGAGGTTAGGCTGAGAGAGCTGAATATACCAGCTCTGTATAAAGAATTTTGTGGCAATAATGGACAAGACTTTTTCCAGCAATGCTGAGTCTTTCTCATCATTGGAAGAGCTTGG